GTCCCTGCGCCCGGGACCGCCATGGGACCCTCGTCAGCTGAGGGGACACCGAGGGGTCTCTGCCTCCCCTGGGGACGCAGATGAGGGGGGTACGGAGGGGGTCCCAGCCCCGGGGACACTGAGGGGACATGAGGGGACCGTGTGCTGAGAGACACTGTGAGGGACCTGCTGTGGGGTGGGGGACACTGAGGGGTGCCTGCCCTGGAAACAGCAAGGGACCGTCCATGGCATGAGGGGACACTGCTGGGCCGAGGGGTCTCTGCCTCCCCTGGGGACGCAGATGAGGGGGGTACGGAGGGGGTCCCAGCCCCGGGGACACTGAGGGGACATGAGGGGACCGTGTGCTGAGAGACACTGTGAGGGACCTGCTGTGGGGTGGGGGACACTGAGGGGTGCCTGCCCTGGAAACAGCAAGGGACCGTCCATGGCATGAGGGGACACTGCTGGGTCCAAGTTCCAACAGAGACTGTGAGGGACCTGCTGTGGGATGGGGGACACCGGGGGGTCCCTGGTGGGTTCAGGTTCCAACAGAGACTGTGAGGGACCTGCTGTGGGATGGGGGACACCGGGGGGTCCCTGGTGGGTTCAGGTTCCAACAAAGACTGTGAGGGACCTGCTGTGGGATGGGGGACACCGGGGGGTCCCTGGTGGGTTCAGGTTCCAACAAAGACTGTGAGGGACCTGCTGTGGGATGGGGGACACCGGGGGGTCCCTGGTGGGTTCAGGTTCCAACAAAGACTGTGAGGGACCTGCTGTGGGATGGGGGACACCGGGGGGTCCCTGGTGGGTTCAGGTTCCAACAGAGACTGTGAGGGACCTGCTGTGGGATGGGGGACACCGGGGGGTCCCTGGTGGGTTCAGGTTCCAACAAAGACTGTGAGGGACCTGCTGTGGGATGGGGGACACCGGGGGGTCCCTGGTGGGTTCAGGTTCCAACAGAGACTGTGAGGGACCTGCTGTGGGATGGGGGACACCGGGGGGTCCCTGGTGGGTTCAGGTTCCAACAAAGACTGTGAGGGACCTGCTGTGGGATGGGGGACACCGGGGGGTCCCTGGTGGGTTCAGGTTCCAACAGAGACTGTGAGGGACCTGCTGTGGGATGGGGGACACCGGGGGGTCCCTGGTGGGTTCAGGTTCCAACAAAGACTGTGAGGGACCTGCTGTGGGATGGGGGACACCGGGGGGTCCCTGGTGGGTTCAGGTTCCAACAGAGACTGTGAGGGACCTGCTGTGGGATGGGGGACACCGGGGGGTCCCTGGTGGGTTCAGGTTCCAACAAAGACTGTGAGGGACCTGCTGTGGGAT